TGTGTCAGAAGTAGGACAGTCTAAACAAAGTTATTGCATATGCTAGCAAGAATGTCACTTGTTGACGTTAAATTCAACACGTGTGAGAAGGCGTTATTGTCGACTGTTTAGGCACTGACATTTTTTTTTAGCTATATCCAAGGTGAGAACTTTTTTGTAGAAACTGCTTACCAACCTCTACAGTGAAAGAATTAGAGACGGTAATCTCTCTAACAGTCGGATTACTGCAGAGATGGCCGTTAGACGTCCGTTATAAACATAAGAGAAGCCCAGTTGCTCAAGACTTAGAAGAATTACATGACTGTACTGCTCCATCTCTGTATCAGATTTGCCTGGATAGGTGATTATCCTAATGTATCTATAAGATACAATATTGGTCCCAAAAGCGGTCAGATAGCCGAACTCTGTGCAACCATTTTTAGGAAGAAAACCAAAGGCCATTCTAAAATACAAGGCAGTGACAAGGAAGGTGATGGCTTAGCTGATTCATTGGCAAAACAAGCAGCCGTTAATGGTGAAACCCTAAACATCAATGATCTTATGGGTTCAATTCAGGTTGAAGCCATAACATGCTAGAAATGATGACGACTTGTTGTGCAATGGAGTCAAGAATCTCCTAGTGAGGGCATAATCACCAGTCAAAAGAACGATACCATTATAGGTATATTCTATAAACATATATAAAACCCTACTCCAAATCCCATCACTGATTAGGATTGCAAAAATAATGAGGATCTAAGAATTTTGCTAAGATATAAAGTTCAATTTAGTATGATGGATGGGTTGCTTATCAGAACGTCCAAATATGGTATACAACAATTGGTAGTCCCCACTGTATACCAAGGGTTAATGCTACAACATGCTCATGATGCACCTACATCAGGACATCATGGTGATAAAATCACATATGAGATAATGCATGATTATTGGCCACACAAGTTAAGATATGTAAAGACATATTGTCAGGGATGTTTGATTAGTCCGCAATATCAACCCCATGGTCCAACCCACCGTGCACCACATGCAATTACCCTGGTCTGATATTCAAATTGACTTTATAGGTCCTGTAACAAGATCTTCAAGAGGTAACAAATACATGTTAATAGTTACATGTATGTACACAAAGTGGATTGAATGTTTGCCATGCAAGGAAAATACAAGTACTGTATGTGCCACTTTGTTAATTAACCATATCTTTTCTAGATTTGGTCTGCCTCAAAGAATTGAGTCAGATCACTAGCAAAGTAATGGCTAAGATGTGGAAAATCCTAGGTGTTAAATGAAAGCTACATATTGTGTACTGTGCTGCAGCTATCGGGTAGGGGAGGGGGAGAGGGGTAGAGCGATATAACTTGTCAATCGTTAACAATCTTAAAAAGTATGTTAAAGAGTCTGGGAAAGACTGTGACCTTAAATTGCCCTTAGTGTTAATGGTGATAAGAGCTACACCTAGCAAAACTTCTAAATTGTAACTTTGAATTGATGACAGGAAGAAAAATGGTTTTACCACAACATTTACTTTACCGCACATCAGATCATAATTTAATTAACGCTGCCACTACACATCAGTACATTGATAATTTGCGCAAGCATTTACAGCATGTGTTTGCTTTTGCACAAAAGAATCTCAAAAAAACAGGGACTGGGGTTAAGACCTATTATTTTAAAAACCACTAAAAATGAATATGAGATTACAAATCAGTTTTATCTGTACAACTTTGTGCAAAACCAGGTCAAGGAAAATAAATGTTTACCTTCTTGGAAGGGACCATATGTTATCACTGATAAAAATCTCCCCATTAGCGTAGGGTAGCGTAGATAAAAATTCCTAAAGATGGTAATTTTATTGAAAAGTGAATCCACAATAACCAGTTGTGTACTTATTCTTAATCTCAATTAAGGATTGTAGATGTCGATTCGGAGGCAGAAGGATGAAAGACTAACCTGAAAGACTGATTGATCTATGTGGTATCATATGATGTGAAATGTTGTGATGTGCCATGATAACATTAACGTTCATGTTACTAACCATTTCCACAAGAGTAGTATTAGAACCAGGAAAGTCCAGTATCCAGTGGCCTGACATGTTTTTGAAAAACGACATGCGGTTTCCCAATTGAGATATGATTTTTGGAATCAGTCAAACACCATTTGAGGGGTGGATCAAGGGAAGTTATGTTGAAGCAACGTGATATATACTGGATATACGAGCTACAGACTCTGTATCCTAAAGGTCTCAATAAAGATCAGGACCCCTCCCCGTTCTTGTGAGTTATTGTATATGGATTGTGATTATCCCCTCTGCCTGTGTATGGTTTATATCTTTATTGATTGTTTTTATTTTTTCACGTCGTGATTTAGACCTTCAAGTGTTGCTTTTTTGGCTGTTTATGATGCCGGATGTATGGATCTTTAACATGCTGGAAGATACATCGTTGAATTTCTATGGACAGCTGAGGACCCAATATTGAATTTTTTTCCCATCTTTCCCTCGAGATTCATCTAACAATATGATTGGAATAAATTATGATTGGCAATATCTGATTTTTTTCTCGTGTTTCCTTTATGTTACATCTGACAATTTTTTTCGAGTGTGAATTTGTTTTCAGTGAGGTATAGCAGAGGTGGTTTCCTATGTGACATGGCATATACGTAGGTTTGGTTGTGAATTGTAGTACATATCATGTCTAACATATATTTGATCAATTTGCAAAGTAGCATTATAGATGTAGTATCCGTGGATACACTCGTAGATGGTGAAATTATCCCAACATGTGCGCATGTGGACACAATGTGATCTTGAACTTAGACATGAATATGTATGTTAAGGAATGAGGCGTCCATATATGACATACGGGTTATGCGTATGTATTTATTATGCAATTAATGAGTTTGTTTACCATTTAGTTGATACGATCCTTTAGGGCCATTAGATATTTTGAAATATTTTTAAATATCTTCAACTATGTAGTTGGTATGACGTTTTATGGTCATTGGATATATTATGTTCACTTTAATACATTTAATACATTTATTTAATACACTTTTGTATTCTATTATATAATATAACTGTGGCCAAATAAAGGAGTTAATGCTTGTTTTGCTGATTATAGAGTAGCCTACTAATGAGATCTAGAGAGGATAGCCTTTATGGGATATTGTACACATGTACACTTTATTATGAATTATGTTGCTGATTATGTATTATATATTATGTTATTTTATACAATTGTATCATATACTTATGAATTGTTAATTAATTTAAACATAGTGGGTATGTGAATGTAGTAACCCTTGTTGTATACTTAAAATATATGTAATGCAGTATGACCATGTATGTGCAATAATATAAGGCATGTGTATATAGCTACCATGCAAGTTGTTAAAGATTTTCTTACATCTGTGTGAATGTTTGCTTTACAGCTGAAATGATCAAATAATGTCTACTCCCAGGTCAAATGATGTCACACTGTTGTTAGTTTGTTTACTAAATGAACTATGAATCATTAGTTAGATAAGTCTAAGAGGTGTTCCTGATCCGTACCTGTCTAAAGATGACTAAGAAGGATGTGGCATGTCTCTGGATCGTACTGCTCATGTGCCAAAAGCTAGGGACCGATCCGATCACAGAGAGATCACACCATTCTCCAGCATCCTGATTCAGGAGACTCCAGGATTAGAGTTGAGCGGACACCTGAATGTTCGGGTCCGGCGGGTTCGGCCGAACTTTGAAAAAAAGTCCGGGTTCGGGCTCGAACTTGACCCCGAACCCGAACCCGAACCCAAACCCCACTGAAGTCAATGGGGACCCGAACTTTTGCCCACAAAAATCCCTCTAAAAAACTCCTTGAAAGAGCTAGAGAGTTGCAAAAGTAAGTAAAATGGGGGTGAGAGTACGACAAGTGCCCTGCAAACAAATGTGGATAGTGAAATCACTTAAAACTAGAAAAGCTACAATTTCTGGGGAAATTGTGTGAAGTGTTCTTGCCTCCACCAGTAGTCTACAACTGGAGTGGGCAGAGTAACTGTTATCATTTATATAGCACATTTAATTGCAACGTTGTTGCACAGTTACATTAAACCATACATTTATAAAAACATTAGCAGGTGTTCAAAAGGCCCTGTCTATGACATCACTTGCTGCTGCAGCCTGACACAGGTCAGAGTATTTTGGCGGTTGCCATCTTCAAACAGTCGTATTTTAAAAACTATAATCCTACAGCGAAGAGCTTTATATTGTGAGAATCACAAGACCCAGACCTACATTTTGATGCATAGTATGTCTCTGAAGTATTAAAAATGAAGGCACAGTCGCAGTTTAGAAATTGCACTTCAAATTTGAGCTTTGCAGAGTGAAGTTTCAATGAATGTCAATGGACGGCGTTAGTTGCAAACAAATGATTATATTGTGAAAACTATCAGGACTATGGCTTAGCCGTTGACATGTTTAGTGGCAGCAGGGATAGCTGAACGTTTTGATATAAGATTTGTGTAGGTGGGCCTGAAAATAAGGGACTGGTGGCAGTTTAGAAATTATGTCCTGATTTTTCAGCTTTTGCCAGCTCCCACTCTAGCTTTGCCATTCATTCCTATGGGACAAATTGCGCCACAAGAACGACGATATTCCGTGAAACATTCGGAGAAACGTTCCCCAAAGTAATAGCAATCCGATCGGGAACAATCTGCACGTTTTGGTAAATTTTTGTCTATGTAGTGTAAAAACTGTGGGAGGAGTTAGGGTGGCAAATTTAGCTATAATAAGAATAAAAATATATATGTGAGATAACAATAAGTGGTCTTGCTATGCAAGAACACTTAATAATAATATATATGTGAGATAACAATAAGTGGTTTTGCTATGCAAGAACACTTAACATAAAAAATTTAAAATACAGCTGAGCCATAAAATAGCACTAGATGGAATCTTTGATTTTAGCTTTGGAAGAACATAAAGCAAAATCTAAAGCTTGGCTGTCAGGAGGATCACCAGAATTATCCATTTGAGAGAGGGTTGGAGTGCAGGGTATACTCTTTCATTGTTCAAACTGAGCTGGGATATACAAATAAAGAAACATTTGCGGCCTGCAGTGCATTTCTTGCAATCCTGACGCATGAAGAAATGCTCAACTCCTGATGCATGGCGAAAATATTGGGACATATAAAAAAAGACAACTCTGTGCCGCAGAATAGCGGTTGACATAGTTGCACAGGAACTTTGTTGACTCTAGAGAACCTCGGGCAAATCGCACATCCCCGTGGTGGTGACTTTGCATGCGGATGTCATCCATATGAACTTTTGATGCCAGTTTTTGCGCCTGCCATGGTGACCACGGGTAATGGGGAATCAGGGTTCCATGCCATACAGGGACCCTGAGAAACAGCTACCACATGCAAGGAAGGCAGCAGGTGCGCAAATGACCCACTCCCAACGCGGGAAGGTAGTGACGACAAATAACAATACAGGACTCTTTAGAGTCCACTTGAAATCCTTTAACTCTGATCAATTGGAGGGAAGTCTGGTGCAGAGCCACTAACCCATGCGTGCTGCAGCTGGAACTCCACTATCTCCTGCTGCTGCTCGCAAAGTCTCATGAGGTGGAGAGCGGGAAGGCCGAAGTTACGCTACAGCGCAGACAGGCGAGCAGCAGCAAGGTGATAACTCCAAACGCGCGCACAGCCGCTACTGTGAATGTCACATCCTGTTCCAAGTTGCGGATCAGTCTGGTGATGGCTTCTGGTATCAAGTACTCTTTTTACTGAAGCTGCATCAGGGTCGTGGTATGTGGCCGCACAAACGCTGGTGCTCAACACCAGGGGGCGTGCGGTTACCCTGCACCAGACCCTGCTAATTAATTTCACACTGTGACTCCTAACTTCAACATCAGACATGTGTCTGGGTCCTGGTCACCGGACTGCCCACCTCAATGTGAAACTATGACTGGATCGTTAAATTAGCAGTTTGGGTTCGCTCAAGTCTATTATGGATCCTTTGATCGCTACATGTATTACTTGGATAACTGGTAATTCTCGAGCTAATACATGCCAACGAGCGCTAGGGGACGGCTGCTCCGCTTTTGCACCCTGCTCCCTCTTATGCTGTGCTGGTGCGACCAGCGCCTCTTCCTCCAAACTGCACACGTCACTCTCATGACCTTGATTCAATGTGGGGTCTAGGACCTCATCATCCTCCACATCATCTTCCACCCACTCCTCAACTCTGCCCTCCTTGCCGGTATGCACACTGCAGAAAGCCACAGCAGTTGGCACCTGTGTTTTTCCAGCATGTAAAGTCTGCAAAGGACATATAGAAATTGTTTTAGAATTGTATTAGAATTGTATCCAGGCAACAGTTTTCCCTATAAACTGACCTCTCAGTTTGACTTGTGATCGTATTTCCCCAGAATTACAATATTGTTTAAGTACCTTTTAGCTATTGATAACTGGTTTAAATATAGCAGCTTGTTATCTGGTAGTTTCTAGTGTAGAAAATATCAATCTGTTTTCTATAACTTAGATTTGTGTAACAAGTGTTGTAGGTGTGAAACAATATTACAAGTGACCGATGTAGTAAATTCGAATCAAAGTTATGCTTTGATTTGACTCTCAGATATAGAGTGAACACCCCAAATATACTATTTAGCGCAAAAAAAAATAAAAAAAAATTACTTTTAAAAACTCCAATGTAAGCAGCAGATTAGCAGCAAAACAATTAGAATGTTTATAAGTGCGCAGTAAGCACACTATTAGACGCTTCTATTTGACTCTCAGATATGAAGAACAGGCCCCAAAATGTACTATTTAGCAGTTTAGCAGGAAAACAATTAGAATGGTTACCACTGCGCAGTAAGCTCACTATTAGACGCTTCTATTTAACTCTCAGATATGAAGTGCACCCCACTAATGTACGTGTTAGCACCCAAAACATTTTAAGTTTTAAAACTGCAATGTGACAGCAGTATTTGACGATTCTATTTGACTCTCAGATATGAAGTACACCCCACTAATGTACTACCCCATGAATGTACTATTTAGCAGCAAAATAAAAATTGCTTTTTAAAACTCAGATGTAACCACAATATTTGAAGCTTCTATTTGACTCTCAGATATGAAGTGCACCCCACCCCACTAATGTACTAGTTTGCAGAATTCTTTCTTAAGCTGTCCCTATCAGCAGCAGCATCCTCTCCCTACACTAATAAGACTGCATGTGCGTGCGGCGCTTCGCAACTCCAGCTTATATATAGAGGCTGAGTCACATGCTGCACTGGCCAATCACAGCCAGGTATGGCTGTGATGGCTTCTAAGGGCACATGAGTTAAATGCTTTTAGCTACTTCAGGACAGCGGTCTCTGTGCCAATCCTACAGGGATGCTGGATGGCCGGTCAAGATCCCCAACCATCTCCGCAGGGATACCAGGAGGAGGAGGTAAGCGAGCCCTCCTCTCCCCAGCTACTTCCCCACTGACTCCTTGGGCCAGTGGATGAGTCTGCGATACCCACTGACCCCCTTCCAGCAGAAGAGCTGGCATCCAGGCAGAGCGTAGTCCGTCCGTTGTCCAGAACCAGACTCCCTGAAGGCTACCGCAGCAGAGCGCCACTGGCCTGTGCCCTACCTATCCTGTTGTTACAGGGCAGGACTGTGCACCGGTTGACCCAGCTGAAGCGCTTGCATCATGGCAGAGCGCCAATGGCCTCTGCCCACTAGTTCCCCTCAGCAACCGGGGACATATAGACCAGAGCCGGACACCAGGACTCCCCAGGTGCAGTAATTGTTTATTGTGGGTGGGTTACTCAACTAACTCGGGCACTGACGGTTTAAAGTCAGGTATCTGGCTAGTCTTCCCTTGGGGGGAAATATATGTGGTGAAAGTAACCTCGCCACTTGTACTTGGAAGGCCTGCTTGCCAGCCTCTTGCTCTGTGACTATGGCCCCTGGGATGTATTGCCCATTAAAAGCTGTATTTGGGCATATTGGATTTTAAAACACTTTTTCTGTCCTTTTAAATACATGGGGAAATGTGCCTCTTCCCCTCCCCCTTTTTCCTGTCCTATTGTTTCTCCAGCAGGGCGTTGTCCCAGGGACACAGCCAGACCAGTTTAAACTGGCTGCTTTGTCCCTCCTCAATCTCCCATCAGCTCTTGCTATTTTCTGACCCCACCCTTCCTTTTACTATAGGGCACTTTTAACATTGGACATATTGAGCGCTCAGATCCAAGCTATATGGGGATATGTTGGACATATAGGTTAAACATTGTATTATAAGAGTTATGTATGTTTTATGTGGTTTTTGTAACAGTTTCTAACTTAGAGATACCTGGAGATAATTTTTACCAGATTGGTAATTGATACCCATTTTGATTGACTGCATAAATTTCATAGACAAAAACTTCCAATGCGAAGGAAAACCTTTCATGTATGAGTCCACAAATGCTCTGTGCGGAATTGAGTACATTAAACATGGCTCTGAAACATGTCAAGTAACTATGTCAAAAACGGATGATAATACCTTAGTACATGCTATTTTAGTCAAAGATAAATGGTTGGTTAGAACTTGTCTTAACAACATGAGTGTTTTTCGCAGGGACCAGGTGACCAATAAAATAATTGTCTCACTAGCCAGCCTGTATCACTGGTCAAGGTAACACCAGGTTCCCGTATCACTATTGATGATATAATGCTATACCATGTGTAATCTGATATTACCGAGGGTACAGTAGAATTAGTGGATCCCTTGCAAGCTTTGGAAATCCCATTGGACCCGAATCTGAAATTCCTGCTAGATCATAAGCCCAACCATACTATCCAAATGTCGATCAGAAAAGATATTTCTGTGGATACATTTAAATGCTCTGAGCATAACACTGACATCATTACTTGTGTTGACTGGTTTAAAATTTTTATTGAGTTAACTATGGTAATCATGATAATATGGTTGATTGTATTAAGTGTGAGGAACTGACTCTGCTGGGTTTCGAACCCTGGTTTACATACTGCTTAAACTCTTCCTTACCAGTTCACCAGCCTGCCTTTTGTAAATTTACCTGAGATCTGATAACCTTGACTTTTTTAATCTGTCATAGGTACTTCACTGAATAATACTGTTCGTTATGTATGACAAAATCCACAACCAGAGAATACGCTACGAGTACACAATATCACTCGTAAGTGCATGTTTGAGTATATGTGAGCTTAATCATTGCTATGATACTCTAACAGAGGGGGTTATGTCAGCGATATTGTGTAGGAAAGGAAATACATATATAAAAATTGCATAATGGCAAAAACAAAATTTAGCTAATACTCCATGACATGCCTAAAATGAACAAAAGGAAGACAATATGATTTTTCTCAAAATTTTGCCTTGTCAGCCCAGCTTAAAGAGCCAGGCAGTGAGTAAATACGTCAATATGTCAATAAAGATAAGAACAAAGATAAGACAAGTATTTGTTAATTAAAAAATATGTGTTCAGCAAACACACATACATATTGCTATAAGGTATATAATTAAGTTTAGTTATATACAAAAAAGTAATATAATGATAGATTTTATATAAATATATATATATATATATATATATTAGTTATTACCTATACATAAAGTAAATCTTAAAATGCTTGAAATTTCTTTACTGTAATTGTGATACTAAACTATGCCATATCTTGTTCAATGTTATTGAAAACTGTTCACTAATTATCATGTATATTTACACCTATTGGTAAAAATAAACATAATTTTGATAAAAAGTTGTGATATTAATGTATAAAAAATATTAAATTCGAACACGTACTCTAGGTCTAAGAGTTTTAAATTTAGTGAGTAAATCTTCACTTTGAAATTAATAATTGGGAATAGTGTCAATAAAATATCAACCCCTAATATTTTAATAAAGATGGTTAATTTTAATAACATTTATGAAAATATTTTTAATGAAAAATAATTATTCCCCATTAATTTATAAATATCCCCACAATATATATCTATATCTATAGTGTGTTTGTACAAGGAGATAGTATGGGATTATATGTATCTGTAAAGGAGAGTGTGTTTGTGTATATATGGTGTGTATGGCAATGTTTTCAGCTTCACCTTTAAAATGGGGGGCATAGGACACAGACCACTTCACTGAGATGAAGCCATCTGCTGTCACAGCACAAGAGGATGGTGCGCTGAGCTCCCTCACCAGATGCCACATGGATGTCGGTGTCCTGGGAGTGGAGGACGCGTCAAACCCTCCTCTTGGCCACCAGCAGCCATTCCATGTGGGTTGAGACATGCAGGGAAAGGCAGGCATTCCCTGTCTGTCAATATGCCTAGCTCTCCTCCAGTGGGAATGTTGGGTAATGTCTTTTATGTGTTTCCCATGCTGCTCCAGGACCTGCTGTGGGGAATCCATGTATGTACGTAGTGGGGAATTTTCCGATGCTACCTTATACATAACTTAACCCCATTAAACCCTCCCAATAACGACAGACAACTTAGTATGGATGAAACAGGCCACAGCATTTATTATAACATAAATAAATACTGCATAACACATCCATAACTTTATTTATTCAAAATCTTATTTTTGTAACCAAAATTGTTAAACATAAGCATAAATTAACATATATACATATATAACATCACACAGTGTTATACAGTAACCCACCGTCCTTGCCAATAAACATACCGTGGTTCCTAATCACCACTTCCTCTTACCTCCCCCCTCATCATAAATCATACCATTCCAATGCCCACCATCAGCCGACTTATCCACGCTCAATGGGCACGATACCTCAGGCAACCTAAAGTTAACCGTTGAAAGCAGGGGAGGTTGATACTTGCCAACTTATTAACTCACTCCAACAATAAAAACATAACCCCACAAACTTAATTGGCAAGGACATGCCCCTGCCACCAGACCCGCTGTTTTACCCCCTAAAATCAGCAGTACACCCCACCAAAACCACCCATGGCCTGTTCCACCGCTTCCTGCAAGGCGAGATTGATAAGGTCGAGCCCGACCTCCGTAAGGTGAACACCATCCGCCCGAAAAAAAATTGGCCACCTCACGTTCAAAAACCCTGTGGCGGACCGGGATCCCCCGAGCCCCCAAAACAAACTGGGAAACCCGCATGTTTAACTTGCAGCGGCACAGCTCCATAGCACTCTGGCTCCGGGCACCCCGCCAGTAGTTACGTGCAATGACCTCAGACCATACCAATTGCACATTGGGGAACAAAACTAAAATGCAGGCTAAGTCCCGCTTGACAGCCGAAATCAAGTCCCAAATGGGAACGGAACCCAGGTCATTCCCCCCAAGATGGATCACCAGGACACTCAGTACCCCCAGGAGATGGAACAGCTGCACCAACTCCGGGAGTAGCCAAACCCACCTCATACCTCTTGAACCAAGCCATTTAACCACAGCGTCGGAAGGCGTGAAACCCAACCGCTCACCTCCAGGCTGAATCGCAGCATGCTGCCCAGCCCAGTAGACATATGAGTGTCCAATGATCCTGGGGGGGGGATCTGCCAAAAGAAATTATGTCAATAGACCAGCCGGAATGAATATAAGAAACATAGCGTCTCAAATCCCACCTCCCAATCCTCTGCACCACCTGCGCTGCCAAGCATCGAGGCCTCAGTGGCCGCCCCAATACGAAAATAATGCCCCCCGAACTCCTTGCTGTCCAAACTCAGGGATTCCAAACCTAAACGAAACACTCTAAGAAACTGGAAATGGGAAAGAAAACTACCATCCTCATGCACCAGTAGGACAAACGCCAGAGCCTGGCACCGCCCTCAATCAAACCCATTTACCCCTCCTCAAGACATCCGTCTTTGAGCAGCGAATCTTGAAAGCGACCTGCACCGCAGAGCAAGAAACATCCCCCAATAGCACCCCCCCTACCTGCCGCCGATTGGGGCACACCAGCTCCCCAATCCGCATGGCCCCAAAGAACGCCAGGGAGAAAGCCAAGCGAAAGAGCTGAGACTCAAATTCCGAATGGCAAACCCCGGGCAATGCATCACACAGCATAAGAAGGAGAGAGCCCGAGACAGGCTGCCTCGAGTCCCTGAAAGACACCCTTCCTCGCTTGAAACCTTTTGGCGCCTGGCGGACTATAAACGCCTTGGTTGTGTCTTCCCAACCCTGCAACTTGATCAGGAAGCTTAGCCCTGCCAAGCGTGCAGCAACGGCTGAGGGGGACAACCCCGCAGCGTCCCAGTCACCCAGGAGGAGCACCAGCCCCTGCAGGCGAGCAGCTGAGTCCCGGAAGCCCCCTTGGGACAGTTCCCACCCGTCCCATGCCCTCCACACCTGGTTATAGTGGGTCCATGGTGCAGCTGCCACCGATCCCCGGACCAACTCCATCAGTCTGCCAGACCCAACAACCACCTCCCTGGCAGGACACCCTCCAAGTCTGCTTGAGGGGCTACCTCCTGAAACACGTCCCACTGTGAACAAGAGAGAGAGCATCGGCCATTACATTGCACAGGACACATTAAGCCCAAACAGCACAGAACCAAGCGCCGTTACCACGGGGGGGGGAGGGTTGGTGGTCCAACAGCCTGCAACCCCCAACGCAATGGAAAACCACCCGTCTGTCCTTCAGCAGGGAGCCCCACACCTCTAAAGCCACCAGAATAGGGAAGAGCTCCAGAAAAGCCAAGTTCCAAGTTAGCTCTGTCATATGCCAGGCCTCCCATTATAAGAAGCCAGAAAGGAATCTGAGACTGCCAAATCAGCCCGCAAAGGCCGCGTGAGCTGGATGAAGTGCTGAGGGGGAATGACCCCAGACGTCGCCGCCGCCAAGCGCCTGTTAAAGATACGCCCCATGGGAAAAATCCGACAGGCAAAATTGAACTTCCCCAGCAGAGACTGCAGGCAGCGCAGCTGGATCTTCCGCCGCCCCATGGCCCGTGACACCGCTAAGTGCAGGTCCAGGACCTTCTCGTGGGGCAACCGACATTCCCCGGCCACCGAATCAATTTTGATGCACAAGAAACTAAGGCACGTGACCGGACCCACCGTTTTGTCGTGGGCCAGCGGAACCCTGAACTGTTGGAACATGTCCCCGAGGACTCGCAGCAGTTGGGCAAAGACGTGCGACTCTGCAGGCCCTACACATAAGAAATCATCCAAGTAATGCAGGAGGGAAGCGATCCAGGGGTGGGTATGCCATGGGGGGGCCTCCACCGGCAGCCATACTTCCACTAATGTGCCCAAATTGCTCTCTCAGTTGCCGGCCAACATCCAGCGCTGCAGCAGCCCTGAGGGATGCCAGGATTGCCTCAATATCCATCCCTCAAGCTGTGAAGACTATTGGCCCAGGCAAACCGGAGCAGGAGGACGAGAAGAAGCTGTCTGCTGGTCCGGTTCCCAAGTGGCACTGAGGTAAGACCACTCCCTCCACTAACTACATAGAAACTTAATCCCACCTTCACATACTTCATAAACCACTCCCCCACATCTATCCCCACACTCCTACATGTGCCCTTGTCCGCTTAGCTGTGCTATCTCCGCAGGGCCTGCTCAGCAAGCATGGAGGTTTGCAAGTTAACTGGACAAACTGACATAGCGTCCTGTCCACATAGGGAGGTGTGGACACCTAGTTACCCAGCAGAGCCTTCCACTTATATAGGCCCTTAGACCCCTTCCTCATGGGAGGGCTCCCATTCCCTTTTCCCTATTAACCCCTTCCTCATGGGAGGGCTCCCATTCCCTTTACCCTATTAACCCCTTCCTCATGGGAGGGCTCCCATTCCCTTTACCCTATTAACCCCTTCCTCATGGGAGGGCTCCCATTCCCTTTTCCCTATTAACCCCTTCAGGATGGAGTCAATAGTACACATTCTGATCAAAAGAAAATGTAAACAAAAACTGGAATTTGTGCTATATGTCTGTTCAACCGTAATTCACCTCTTTCATATTAAGTGCACCCGCACTTATTATATATCATTTGTTCAGGAGAAACTGGGCTTTAATTTCTCATGAACTATTCACATTTGAAACATAATTTATTATGAATAAAATAAAAAAAAGAGAAATTAAGATTTAAAAATAAAAATAAATTGTAGTTCTGCCTGACATTTTAGCTGTACACTTTTACTGCAAGAAAAAGCACATACTTGGATTCAGCAAAGTCTCACAAGTACAACAGTAACCCCCATTAACAGTTTTTACAGTGTTTTGGAAAGTTAGAGGATCAAATATAGCACATTCCATTTTTTAGTTTTTTTCACATTGAAATTTGCCAGATTAGTAATGTTTCGTTTGAGACTGTGTGGTAGCCCAGGAATGAGAATTACTCCCATGATAGCATACAATTTGCAAAAGAAGACAACCCAAGGTATTGCAAGTGGGGTATGTCCAGTCTTTTTTTAGTAGCCACTTAGTCACAAACACTGGCCAAATTTAGCCTTCATATTTGTTGTGTGAAAAAAGCAAAAAAACTAATATTTGGCCAGTGTTTGTGATTAAGTGGCTACTAAAAATGACTGGACATACCCCATGTGCAATACCTTGGGTTGTCTACTTTTGCAAATAGTATGCCATCATAGGGGTAATTCTCATTCCTGGGCTACCATACAGTCTCAAAGGCAACATTACCAAACTGACAAATTTCATTGTGGAAAAAAAATGAAATGCAAGCCTTATAGTTGACTCTCTAACTTTCCAGAACACCATAAAATATGTACATGGAGGGTACTGTTATACTTGGGAGACATCACTCAACACAAATATAAGTGTTTCAAAACAGTAAAACATATTACAACAATATTGTCAGTAAAAGTGCTGTTCATGTATGAAAAATGCAAAAAGTCACTTTTACTAAAAATATCATTGTTGTAATACAAGTTACCATTTTGAAACACTAATATTTGTGTTCAGCGAAGTCTCCCCCATGTACAGGTTTTATGGTGTCTTGGAAAGTTACAGGTTTAAATATAGTGCTTGCGAATTAAATTCTCTGCACTTTCTGCCTGGGTTGTCAGGCACGTCAATCAAATTTTAATTACATTAAATCACATAATCATGTTAAAAGATTACTTAAATATACATGTAGAATTTTAATATATACATATGTATTTAAATTCTACGTGTATACTTATGTAGTTATTTATGTAATTATATATATATTTTTCTATATATAAATATTTGCAGTGTGTGTGTGTGTGTGTGTGTGTGTGTGTGTATGTATATATATATATATATATATATATATATATATATATATACATACATACACACACACAAACTGAAAATACCGGCACTCAAAAAAAAATACCGGCACGAATATATTTGTATAAAGTTATCATATCCCCTCTCAGGCGCCGTTTTTCCAAACTAAACAGATTTAATTTTTTTAACCTTTCTTCATAACTAAAATGTTCCATTCCTTTTATCAATTTTGTAGCTCGTCTGTGGACCCTCTCCAGTGCCATGATATCTTCTTTAGAACAGGCGCCCAAAATTGCACAGCATATTCAAGGTGTGGTCTTACCAGCGATTTATAAAGAGGCAAAATTATATTTTCATCCCGAGAATTTATGCCCCTATTTATACATGACAAAATCTTACTGGCCTTAGCAACTGCAGATTGACATTGCATATTGCTTCCTAATTTGTTGTCTATAACAATTCCCAAATCCTTCTCGTGTGCGGTTATCCATAATTCACTACCATTTAGTGTGTAAGTTGCTTGTGCATTCTTAACCCTGAAGTGCATAACTTTGCATTTCTCTATGTTAAATTTCATCTGCCAAAAGAAATTGTTTTCTTCAATTTTTGCCACCTTTTTACATGTCTAATCTCACGTTGGTTTCGGCACACCTCAACCGACTTTGTTCTTACTAAACTTTAATTATATCATACATTACGTTCCTCTAAATGTGCCATACACAAATGGAAGGCTTGGCCTGTAATTATGGGAGGGAGTTTCCCATCCCACCGCACCCTTTATTATTTCATATTATCTAGTGGGCCCTCTTTTTACAGGTCTAACTCACGTTGGTTTCGGCACACCTCAACCAACTTTGTTCTTACTAAACTTTCATTATATCAGTGCAGGACACAAAAAAAATAAAAATAAAATATATATATATATATATATATATATATATATATATATATATATATATATATATATAAAAATACAAAATACTCCTGCACTCCAACTAGATAAAAGAAAACTTTATTGATATGCTTTAAAAAAGACGATACTGTCTCTTTAAGAAAAAAATTTTCTAAGTTAAAAAATCGGATTCACATATATTGACAGATCTGTATCTAATAGGATTCACATATATTGACAGATCTGTATATCAATATTTTATGACCTCTGTCTACAGTATTACATATATTTTTTTCACTTACTCACTTTGTATTTTTTATTTTGAGGCACACATTTTGCACCACAAGAAGAGATTTGTTCAATTTTTCATTATATATAATATTTATATTCATGTAATTATTACCTCTAGGTATATTTGTATACAGTCATACCAAACCTACATTCTTTATCACTAACCTATGTGTATAGCAAAATATAACTGTCTCAGATTTAGCCATCATGATTATAACTTACTAACAGTATTAATTTTCAAATCTTTTAAATTCTCAGACTTTCTATGGGTTGTTTGTAATATTCACCATGTTAATATTTACTTGCACTTTATTGTCTCAGATATCTATTCACTCTTTGGGGTGATCTTCTACCTGCTCTATATTTATTTGGAATATATCTACCAAACTTTATTCTTATATAGAGTCCAGTGTTTTATTTAATGTTAAATCAACTCCTTTCCCTTTCAGCTTGTTTTCTCTTCAGGCCCTGTTCATGCCGGTTGCTACGGCGACGCCCTGGGATTGTTTTGTATTCACTTTGCAAAAGGCTTATCTGGTTCATATATTGACAGATCTGTATATCCATCTGTCTAAGTTTGGAGGCACACATTTTGCACCACAAGAAGAGATTTGTTCAATTCATTATATATATATTTATATTCATGTAATTATTACCTCTAGGTATATTTGTATTCATATGCCTACATTCTTTATCACTATTCCTGCTGTATAGCAGTAGTTGATGGCTCTGATTTAGCCATCATGATTATAACTTACTGAACAGTATTAATTTTCAATCTTTATTCATCAGATTTTCCTATCCTTTTTCACATTTTATATGTAATATTCACCATGTTAATATTGTCTTGCACTTTATATTCTCAGATATCTATTCACTATCTTTGGGGTGATCTTTCTACCTAAGTCTTATTTATTTGGAATATACCTCTTGGTAACTGCAAACTTTATTCTTATATAGAGTCCTCTCTGTTTTATTTAATGTTAAATCAACTCCTTTCCCTTTCAGCTTGTTTTCTCTTCCCTCTAGGCCCTGTTCACATGCCGGTTGCTACGGCGACGCCCTGTTGTTGATTGTTTTGCACTTTGCAAACAGGCTTACTTTGGTTCATATGAGATACCATAATTTGGTGATTCAACCAATGAGATGTAAGTGTCCCTGGTTGCCCCAATAACGTAGTTGTCAAGCCAATGAAACTAGCCTATTCGGTCAGATGATTAACTGACCAGGAAGTATCTTTGAAATTAATGGGCGGGCATAGTAAACTCAGTGGCTGAAGGTAATGAAAACAAGTCTTTTCAGTTTTATGAATGTTTGTGTCCTGATGAAAGCTCCCCAGTGGAGCTGAAACGTCGAATTTTTCTTCCGCAATAAATGGAGAAGTTATCTTCTGGAAAACCTTGAGTGCCGGTATTTTCACTTTGTTTATGATTAAGCCACCAGAGCACCAGGTACTATTTTAATTTTTCTAGTTGGAGTGCAGGGGTATTTATATATATATATATATATATATATATATATATATATATATTTTTTTTTTTGTGTATGGCACTGATATAATAAAAGTTTAGTACGAACAAAGTTGGTTGAGGTGTGCCGAAACCAACGTGAGATTAGACCTGTAAAAAGAGGGCCCAGCTAGATAATATGAAATAGGGGTGAAAGGGTGCGGTGGGATGGGAAACTCAGAGATCATTTACGACAGGTAAGCAGGGGCTCACTGGGTTTAAATAGGACTAATAGTCCCTCCCACAATTACAGGCCAAGCCTTCCATTTGTGTACGGCACATTTAGAGAAACGTAATGTATGATATAATTAAAGTTTAGTAAGAACAAAGTCGGTTGAGGTGTGCCGAAACCAACGTGAGATTAGACCTGTAAAAAGAGGGCAAAAATTTAAGAAAACAATTTCTTTTGGCAGATGATTTTTTTTTTTTTTTTTTTTTTATCCATAAGATGTTTCTTTATACATTTCAATTAACCAAGAACAAACAATACTTTAGACTTACACATCTACATAAACAAGACAGTGCAGCAAGAGAGAAGGGAAGAAACTCATCGAGTAAAAATATATGTTTTGTCTCTTATATTATATATTATACTGTCCAAAGCATTAACAGTCAGCCTCAGTGTTCACTTTAAATTTATGTAGGAGAAAAAAAAAAAAAGATTTTTTTTTCTTTTCCTTTTTCTCTCTCTCCCCCTGTCTCCATCAAACCTCATATAGAGAGAGAAAAAAAAAACAAACAAAAAAAAAACCTCTGTTTATCAATCTTCTCCCAACATTTCATCCAAATTGTTGTTTTCCTACTTAATTTTTGTTTGCTCAATAACACTTCCATTTTTACTTGAAACTTAAGCTGGGCTCTAACTTGATACCAAGGAACTTCTCTATCATTTTTCCATCTTCCCGCAATCACAATTTTTGCTGCTAAAAAAAGATGGATAAGAATAATTTTCGAATCATTTTTCATTGCCGGCCAGTTTAAATGGAGCAGGACAATCTCCGGAGAGAGCCTCAACTCAAGGTTCAAATCTACGGACACAAACTTTTGAATATTAAACCACAAATTGTTCAATTTACTACACTCCCACCAAATATGCTTAAAGGTGCCTGTATTTATGCCACATCTCCAGCATAGATGGTTTGCTGAAGAGTACATTTTGTTCAGTTTGTCTGGTACTAAGTACCATCTATTTAGGACTTTAAAATGAGTTTCTAATAAATTTAGCGAGTGTATGTACTTCGAAACTTCTATCAATGAGAAACCCCAATGCCTGATATTTATATCCATATTTAATTCTTCTTTACAGGCAGTTATAGCTGTTGGAGTTTTTACTTTATTGCACATTTTGCTTAATACCAAAGCTTTTGAGAGTGGTTTATTTATCTTGTCTGTATTGAAAAGAATATTTAACACATTATTCAAATTAGTGTTTGATACTATTAGATGTGACGTCAAAAAACTTTTAAGTCTTAAATAATTAAGCAACTCTTTTGATGGTAAGTTGTATTCCTGTGTTAATTGAGCAAAAGTTTTAATTTTATCTTTTACAAGTAGTTGAGACAGTCGCAAAATTCCTGCTTGATTCCAGTTTTTTAGATTTGTATCTGCAACTTGTTGTTCTACAAGATCTAATTTTGAATATGTTGGAATTTTGTTTTCTATTTTTAGGGTCTTTTTAATTTTAAGCCAACTATTCATTAAATGTGTTAACGTTATGTTGGGATAATCTTTTTTTTGAAAGAATTTGGTGGTATTCCAAATTAAACAATCCAAACTGGGAACTCCTCCTGCAATAATTTCTGTTTTATACCAACTTTCATTTTTATTTTCTTCTACTTGCATACTATATATATGTAAAATTACCGCTGCCCTGTAGTTATTTGATATTAGAGGATAGGCCAGTCCTCCTCTGTTCAGTTTTTGTGTTAATGTTGACTGACTCAATCTTGGTTTTTTACCTTTCCAAATATACTGAGTGAAACTTTTCTGTATTAATTCCAACCAATGGTTAGAAATACGTAATGGCAACATTTGGAACATATAGTTCCATTTTGGAATGACGTATGAATTGACTACATTTATCCTTCCCCAGAAAGATATTTCTAAATTTCTTCGGTTTTTCAGCCATTTGTTAAGATTTTGTAGTAAATCCAAGAAGTTTATTTCCATTATTCTATTTACATCTCTAGTCAGTTTAACTCCCAAATAGTCCATGTTGTTTTCGACCCATAAAAAATTATATCTATCCTTGATCTTATTTTTAGTTTGTTCATCCAAATTAATGTCCAGAATCATAGATTTATTTATATTTAATTTATAATTAGATATTTTACTGTAACTGTTGATTTCTGACATTAAAAAATCTAATGAAATTTCTGGTTTTGTTAT